GTCCACACGTAAACGCAAAAAAGGAGTTTTAAAAAATCTCCGTTCTCGGTGATTCGAAACGCCATTTACGTGTGGACGAAACAGCTGCGTTTTCAAAAATACCCGTGTAGGTGTTGACGTAGCGTAAAAGACTTAGTAGTTTATTTTCTTACTACCTGTCTTTATTGCAGATTACTTGTATTTGCTTAATTGTTTACTAAATGTTTGAGGTGTGAAATAAACCGCAGTGGAGCAAAATATGGGTGTGTGTGGTTGGAGGATGTGTTCGTGCCCGCGAGGGGGGGCGCGAACATTTTTCTTGTAAAACAAGGGGGGCCCAGCAAAAAAAGTTTGGGAACCACTGACATAGACCATCAGGTACTGGGATCTTCCTGTTTTTCAGGGTTAGACATGTTAAGTCTGTGTGTAGAGAAGTCCTGTCCTTTTGTGCCAATGTAGGCAAGTTACATTTGCTCAGAAAATCCTGCATAATTTCAGAAGGTGCATTACACTGAGATGTATATAACTGTTCATAAAACTGTCTAAAAGCAGTATTAATATCCTTATAAGAATTAGTCAACAACCCTGAGTCTGACCTGATTGCATGAATGGCCCTATCACTTTCTCGCTTCCTTAGATGCCTAGCCAGTAATTTATGTGGCTTATCACCAAGTTCAAAATAGGTCTGCTTAACATACATGAAGGCCCTTGAAATTTTATCTGAGAGCAAGTTATTGAGTTTATACTTAAGAGCTGATATTTTAATATGTAGCTGTACAGACGGTTGTGTCATGGTCCTGGGTCTGTGACCTAGTGTTTTCTGTTCGGTATTATTAATCTTTGATTTCTTGATGCATCTTTGTTTATTCTTACATTTTGGTTCTGTGTTTCCCTTCTAGTGTAATCTGGTCTGTGTGTTACCTGTGTGTCTGAGTCTGCATCTCTCTTCTCGTTTGCTTTGCCTTGTCGCCACCTCACAACAGTGATATAGTATGATGTGATCCCATATTAGATTCTTGATGAATGTGTGTTGTTGTTATTCAGCCTGGTTCAAGGTGCCCCTTTTTAACTTTGAGCACCCGCCCCTTTAAACGTCTCTGCACGGCCCTGCCGCCCTGCTGAAAAAGGAAACAAAACCCATGATACCACCCCAGAGAAACCCCACCAACTATTAATAGAATTGAATCATCTGTTTGTTACCTGTTGGAGTTCAGGGTCTGGTTGCTTGGCTATGATCAGCATTCACTCAGGTTTCACCATTGTTTACTGGCTAGCTTAGCATTAGCATTCCGTCTGGCTAGCTTATTGTTAGCATGCTGTCTGAGCAGGTGCTTGCAGAGAGCCAAAGTTGTGTTAGACACATAATGCGGTTGTTTCTGTCCTGGATGCAGTTTCCATTTTACCATCATGCTGTGCCCTTTTGTTCAGTAATATTGGTTGCAAATCCTTTACTGGCAATTACAGTCCAAAGTCTTGAACTCATGGACATCACCAGATGCTGGGTTTCCTCATTTACTGAAGGGCTTTCAGTTGCTATTTCTTTGTGGGCCTTTCTGTCTGAAGTTTAGTCTTAAACAAGTGAAATAGATGCTCAATTGGGTTAAGATCAGATGACTTGGCCATTCAAGAATATTCCACTTCTTTGCTTTAATAAAATCCTGGGTTGCTTT